ATCTTACACTGGCTATGTTTTTATTTGCTCTGGTTCACCCATTGCTTGGGAAAGTCGTAAGCAACGAACAGTTGCATTGAGCACTGCTGAAGCAGAGTATATGGGTTTGTCGGAAGCGTGTAAAGAGGTTAAGTTTTTGTCTAATTTATATAGTGAACTAACGGGTAAGACGATTACTATTAGTTTGTTTAGTGACAATCAATCTGCAATTAGTCTCAGTTCTAACCATATAGTAAACAAAAGAACCAAACATATCGATATTCGATATCATTTTGTTAGAGATATGGTAAAAAATGATCAGGTTAACCTACTCTACATTTCTACCCAAAACATGTTAGCAGATATCTTTACAAAACCTCTTACAAAGAAAAAACATTTATTTTGTTTGAATGAAATCGGTATTAAGGGGGTGTGTTAGAATTGTATTTCCTAGGTAATGCCGATATCATATAGTTACTATAGTATTAGTTGTTATAGATAGTTTCTTACGATTGTTTTTCGTGATTGATGTACTGTTTTTATTATACAAAAAAGATATATTAAACCTTCTATAGAAAAGCTGTGTTTTGCTCATCAATCTATCAAAACGGCCTCTTAGCAAAAATCGATTGCTTGCTTATTTTGTTGGATATCGGAGCCAGAGTGTTAATGGTGCCTTTAGTTGTTTTATAAAATTGAATATTTCAAATAATTATACAAATCCAATATGCTTAAATGTATTTTTTTTTCAAATTAGGTTTTAACTTTCATGTATCCAGTAAAATATAGGATTGTTTTTTTTTTCGACTTCTAGTTTTCAACTGTACTTTAGGTTTCGACGATAATTCAAAAAATGAATAAACAGTAAATTTTAAACTTCAAATTTAATCTAATAAAAGTTATATAGATTTGAAAAATAGATATTTAAAAAATATTTTTTTCCTGGCAAATAAAAATGTATGTATTTTATTTTATTTTTAGAATATTTTAGTAATCCTGTATTCAATCCTAGAATATTTTTATAAAATATTACAGTATTGCCAAGCATTATTTTTTTTTGAAATTAGAGAATGATGCTGACCGCAAATTAAATTATCATAATTTAGGTAGGTTTACATTGATTTCAAAATTGTTTAATATACAGACTTATAAGATACTAAGCTAACGAATAGTGGAGATAGAACTGATTTTAAGTTCAATTTACTCAATTTGTAAAATGCATCATCGTGTATATTATCTTATCATAACATTCCTTAAAAATTTGTCTATACAACGATACCAATATGTTAGCCAATAACACATGTATAGTGTGTATATTGGATAGATAGCTGTTTTATTATTAGAAAAACGACGAAATTTTTAGTATAAAAGTTGTATGACTATATTTAACAATTATTTCTAAATATACAGGGTGGTCCATAAACGAGGTGCGAACCAAATCTATACTTTTTAAAAGCAAAACACCCTGCAGGTTGTTTGTTATAAGTTATAGGATTTCGTTTAAAATTTTAATTACGGATTTGTTGTTGCAAGAAGCAAAGACAAAAATGGTATCAAAATAAGGATGTTCTTAATCCTCGCCAAGTCAATATGCTTGTTGATTCAACAAACAGGATGAAAATAAGAGGTCAATGTTTTAATTACATATTTCATGTTTAACGCTGAGACAGAGAACAAAACGAATGGCATTAGATGAAGAATGGGTGGTTACTTTAGTGGAACAGCCTAATAAATTTGATGTTTTTAAATATGTATCATCGAAATTAATTTCTATATCAACTAAGGAAATTTACAGTGCAAAAGTAGAGGCTTTAAAATTAACAGTAGACGAAAAGGGTCAAACGACTTTTTAGAGTTTTTTAAGTATTGTTGATACTCCAGATTTTTATAAAGAAAATACAATGGACAAAGATAATCAACAGAAAACTCAAAAATTTATTAGCGAAGGATGTGGGTAGAAGCATTAATTATGCCGAAATATTTTAAGTTTGAGCTGACAGCCTCTCCGATGCATCTAACAGTAAATGGGTATCTCGGCACCTCCACAAATAAGAGTTCATTGGGAAATATTTTAGAACAATATGGCATTTACTCACAAAGACACTTACTTGCACCTATTGACTCTGGCAAAATTTGTCACATTTTTGATGGGATGACAATAGTCCAAGGTTTGGGAAAGTCCAAAAGTTGTATATCATTTAAAGACTATGCTAATGTATTTGTAAACGTTATTTTTAGAAATAAATTTAATGCTTAAAGGATTGATGTGGTATATGATCATTATAAAGAACATTTTATCAAAAACTCGTCAAAAGAGAGGATCCCAGAAATCAATTGATATAGAAATTGACCGACCCAATACACCACTTCCGCAACAATGAAACTTGTTTATTCATTCGATATTTAACAATAGACGTTTAACAAATTTTCTGTCAGAGCAACTTCTTCAAAATTCCATTCAGCAAAAGCATATTTAATTTGTAACTAGTGGTGGATTCGCGAATATCAATAAATATGGGACGAATTTTGAACTATCAAAAGATGATTTCTTAAATTCAAATCATAAAGAAGCTGATACTCTTATCTTATTGCACATATTGTTAGCCAAAAATTCGGAGCATTCATGCTGCATTATTGATTGCAACGATACAGATGTTCTAGTCTTAAAAATTTATTTCAAGAAGTATTTGACTAAAGAGATATGGTTCAGAACAGGACGAAGAGACTCAAGACGATTTCTAGCAGTACATGATTTAAATTTGGATGGTATCTTCTAAAAAATTTGCCTGCTTTTCTTTCTCTGACCGGTTATGATACAACCAGCCAATAGTCTGGCATTGGGAAAAGAAAACATATTCTCTAATCTTGAAAAATGTTTCATAAAAATGTATTCAAAAACTGCCAGTGTTACTTCCATTAACATTTTGAGGGGATTAATGGCCTCTTTAAAAACCATTGCTAAATTGCCACCGACTGAAGACGACCTAAGATAACATTGTTTAAGATGTTTTTACCAGCTAAATATTTGGCTAAGCTCTTTAAAGCCGCAGATGCAGCTTCCTAATGTTAAAGAGTATGAATAGAAAGTAGATGAAGATGGAAGGCTGATACCCACTCTAAGACTCTGTCCGACCTGCCACCAGACATAACAGAACTTACATCATGCAAATACAAAAAAGGTACTATACACCGATAATTTTCATAGATGTACAATATTCTAATAATATTATTCTGTTCTAGACTAAGAAAGCAAAATTTGTAAATGCAGGAAAAAAATATTGGCTGTATCGGTTCCTGCACCTACCTGTATGGCACAGAAAAACTGCAGCAAAAGTTTGATTACAGCCGCTAATGTTTTGGAAAATGTTGATTCGTGTGGTGAATCTGATTCTGATTAGTTTAAAAGTCTTGTACTTATAAATTTTAATAATATTAATTTATGCTTTATACCGGGTGTTCAAATTAAAGTGTTACAGCTAAATACCGCCTATTATAAAAAAAAACGTTTCAGACGAAAGTTTTATAGTTTTGTGGGGAAACATTTTTGCTAAAATCGTTTTTTTCAGCTAACCATAATATGGCCAACTTTTTTTTCGCCTACCAAAATTTTTAAGTAGCTGTTACTCAAAAAGTGAAAGTCGAATAAGAAAATTATTTCCATCTAGAGTTTCTTATTTTTTTATGTACTTTAAGAATATTTACAAGAAAAATGGGGTTCCCATTTAAAAAAACAAAGTCCACCTCGATATGGCCATATTATGATCAGCTATAAAAAAAAAATTTAGCCAAAATGTTTCCCCCAAAAAACTATAAAACTTTCGCCTGAAACTTTTTTTTTCTAAAATGCATATTTTCGGCGGTATTTAACTATAACACTTTAATTTGAACACCCGGTATTCTTTTAATTATTATTATTATTATAATGTTTTTTACATTGGGAATTTATTGTATTTTGCAAAGCAATAGCCTTACTGTTAATAATCGATACTTATATATACTGCGTCTATACCTTCAATAAATAGTTCATATTTTCTTATTTTTTATTTTCCTCAAAAAAATGCAAAAATAAATCATAGCGTATAAATCAATAATCCCTGAATAAAATAATATGAGAGAGTCAAACTGATTGCATACATTTTAGCACTGAGAGAGAAGAAAGAGAGTCGAGAAGCTTTACCTTCAATGTTTGCTTTCTAGTTAAACCATGATATAACTAATTGTTTATTGCTATATTTTTGTTAATATAAAAGCAAAAAATATGGGGAAAGCACTGTTACTTTGTTAATACATAGGCGAAACTTTTATGAAGAATAGTTTTTTCTCATTTAGGCCTTCGTTTTTCGTCAAATGAGAGGTATATTTCTAAAAAAAGATTTTTTATACAAATTTGTGGACGGTTGAAACCGAGATATTGACGTTTAAATTTTTTTTTCGACCATAAGGGCTAATGCAAATGATTTTTTTTAAATAATTATAAAAGACCTAATTGTGCATTAGAACAAAAAAATAAGCATTTTTTTTTTCTATATGGTGGTATCAATAACTCGATTTTTTATGATAGTGCCCTTTTGCACTGTCTAATTTTGTATTACCTCCGGAATAAGGATAAGCTTATCATGTACTTTCATCCCTGAAAAATACAGCTGGTGACACCGAAGTGGGAGGCAAAGTCAAAAAATTTTTAATCTATACCATATAAAAGCCCGTACCTGTGAGTTTAGAAGAATACATTTTTATTCGCAGATGCGAAAATGCAGAACGTATATTTGTTACTTAGTTGCTAACTAGAGGCAGCACCTCTCGGATAACTTTATTTTGTCTCTCTCTGGGAGGACTTGTTCAGACTTCTCTGTTCCAATGCACGCCTCGATATCGATTTATTTTTACTTTAATTGTGACACTAGTCACTCAACATTTATTTTTTATTATTGAATAGAAAAATACTTTTCTCGAATATACATTTTAATTTTTTTTTTGTATAACTGCCACATTTTCAATATATTTATTTTTTTATTTTTCAGGTAATACAGATATAGTCAACGGAAATCTAAAGCTAATCCTCGGTCTAATATGGTCGTTAATCGTTCATTACCAAATCGGAAGATCGAAGTTCCCGCCAAGAAAATTAATGCTGTCGTGGCTGCAAGCCGTCCTGCCGGAATGTAAAGTTTCGAATCTTACGACAGATTGGAATTCAGGAATACTGCTGTCTGCTCTTGTTGACTATTGCCGACCTGGACTCTTCCCGCACTGGAGATCGTTAGGTAAGAAGTTTTATCTACGACTGTGCAATAAATGTAACTTATTTCCCACACATTTTGTGGGAATTAAGGACCTCATTACCGCACGAATTTTCATTATTCCTTCAATGTATGCCTTAATTTTTCTGATACCAGGCTAGAAATAATTCCTATAACTTATCCGAAGGAATACTTGCAGCGTCAATTATTATATATTTTCAAAACAAGCAAATCAAAAATAATAGACGTTTAATAATGTCAAACTGTGGTTGTCATAGATTTAACACTATTTTACACAAATTGTTTGTTTTTTTATGTGGCTATATACAAAATGAAGTATATAAAACCTATATTACTGCATTGCAGAACTTCTAGAGGCAATTCATTTAGATTTTCGAAATCTGCGAATGAGAACAATGGTTCTTTTAAACGCTATTCAAAGAATTACAAAAATTTTCCAATTTTGCATTAGTAGAAATGGTCACCAATTTGAACATCATCTTTAAAAATTAGTTTTTTCTTTTTTTTAATAATGTTATTTTTTGTGTTTGTTATATTGTTACTTTTTGCTACAAAACTTTTGTTACAAACTTACTGTTTTAAAAAAGTCTACAGTAATCGAATTAAATTACGGGTTTTGAGCTTACATTAAATGGTAATTAGATGAAACAAAATGGATTCTATGTATTTTGAGGTGATCTTTTCGAAAAAAGGCAAAACAAAATGTAGCAGTTTTTCGAAAGTGCCGAAATTTTGGATTTTGTCAATTTTTCAATTTTGCGCAGGCGCATGTCGGAAATAAATCAATATTTTTAAAACGCAGTTTACGACATTTGAAATCTTAGGAAAAATGCTAATTTTAATGTCTCTTGAGAAATTTTGATCCGATGCACCGTTCTCGCGGTATGGACGATTGAAATTTGTTTAGTATTTTGAGGCGACGAAGGTCGAAAAATTGAATTTGTTAAATGTTCAAACACTAAATTCTTCATAACATTGGTAAAAATTAAGATATTTGAAAAAACAAAAATGCGTTTTGAACTTAAGGGATGTGACTAGTGATTTCCAGAAGGGGGCAAGAGAAATCCCAAAATTGGGCATATGTCGGAAGGGCAAAGTGTACCACGGTCCTAATTTCATTGTTTGCCTATAACGGCCAAACTATTTGAATTTTTTTAATGCCACTTACAGAGCTTACTTTTAAATGTGAAATCTCATATGTGTGTGAATTTCACTTACATCGGACCATAATTGGCTAAGATATAAAATAAATTTTTTCCTTAAAAAACAATATGCAAAAATGCACCCAATGGCTCAAAACTTTTTTTTTGAGTACTCTATTGTGTCTAGAATACGATTACATTACGGAAAATTCTGCAAATATATTTTATCTATTTTTTTGACCACTGTTCATTGAGTGACAACCAAAAAACACGGTTTTTGAGAAAAGTTGTCTAAAATTGACAATTTTTAGTTTTTTGGTCTGAAAATTAAGCAAACCCAAATTTTACGTCTTCTAAATGTGTATACAAAGTTTAAAGCTGTCATTTATTTGCGTGTTTCTGAGAAAAAGAGCATACTATTATATATTTTTAAAAAGGTAAAAAAAAAGAAAAATTTTATAGTCTATAAATATGCTCCATTTAAAAAAAAAATATAAATTTGCTTTATAATTCAAAAATAGTAAATGTGTAACATACGAAGGGGGTCTCAAAATGCAGCATTTTCAAAAATGCGCTGTATTTTAAAAACTAAAAATCTGATGTGTCCAACACATGACTTTCCTATCTAGTTAACCTATTGCAGCATCTCTAAAAATGTTTAGAGGATAAACTAAATATATACATTTTCCACATACATCTACCTCGAAACATTTTTCTATAGATATTCATTGAAAACGAAAATACTGAAAAATTTTAATTTAGCACTTTTCCTCCAATTTTTCCATTACGGTCCATTTTAGAAAAGTCATTTAAAAACAAAAATTATAGAGATCGATATCGCAAACAACTTTTAGATTAACAATTTTCTTAAAAATCAGAATTTTACACATTTTGTCAAATTTCTCGAATACGGACCATTTCAGGAAAATTTGACATTACACAAAAATTATAGATAATAATATTGTAAGTAACTTTTATTTAAAGAATTTTCTTCCCCAAACGTAAATAACGAATATATTCCATAAAATATAAAAATGACCGCCAATAAAGTACCCCCCCAAATGTTCCGACTCTGTCCAAAATCTAATCAGTTCACCTCAGGTCGAAATAAAACTTAAGTTTAAAATTTAATGTTTTTTCCTTTATCCGTTTTTGAGTTTTCTTCAAAATTCGAAATTTACACATTTTCTCAAATATCTCGAATACGGTCCATTTTAGAGAAATATAGAATAAAAATTATAGAGAATTATATTACAAACAACTTTTATTTGAACAATTTTTATAAAAAATTATTTTTTTTACATTTTGTCAAATTTCTCGAATACGGACGATTTTAGGAAAATTTTGCATAAAACAAAAATTATAGATAATTAAATAAGAAGTAACTTTTATTTGAAGAATTTTCTTCTCCAAACGTAAATAACAGATATATTCCATAAAATATAAAAATGACCACCTATAAAGTACCCGCCCAGATGTTCCGACTCTGCCCAAAATCTCATCAGCTCATTGGACGCTAAAACAAAGCTTAAGTTTAAAATTTGGTGTTTTTCTGTGTATCGGTTCATGAGTTATGCGACCTACACACACACACACACACACACGCACGCACGCACGCACGCACGCACGCACGCACGCACGCACGCACGCACGCACGCACGCACGCACGCACGCACGCACGCACGCACGCACGCACGCACGCACGCACGCACGCACGCACGCACGCACGCACGCACGCACGCACGCACGCACGCACGCACGCACGCACGCACGCACGCACGCACGCACGCACGCACGCACGCACGCACGCACGCACGCACGCACGCACGCACGCACGCACGCACGCACGCACGCACGCACGCACGCACGCACGCACGCACGCACCCACCCACCCACACGCACGCACGCACGCACGCACGCACGCACGCACGCACGCACGCACGCACGCACGCACGCACGCACGCACGCACGCACGCACGCACGCACGCACGCACGCACGCACGCACGCACGCACGCACGCACGCACGCACGCACGCACGCACGCACGCACGCACGCACGCACGCACGCACGCACGCACGCACGCACGCACGCACCCACACACACACACACACACACACACACACACACACACACACACACACACACACACACACACACACACACACACACACACACACACACACATACACACATACACACATACACACATACACACATACACACACACACACACACACACACACACACACACACACACACACACACACACACACACACACACACACACACACACACACACACACACACACACACACACACACACACACACACACACACACACACACACACACACACACACACACACACACACACACACACACACACACACACACACACACACACACACACACACACACACACACACACACACACACACACACACACACACACACACACACACACACACACACACACACACACACACACACACACACACACACACACACACACACACACACACACACACACACACACACACACACACACACACACACACACACACACACACACACACACACACACACACACACACACACACACACACACACACACACACACACACACACACACACACACACACACACACACACACACACACACACACACACACACACACACACACACACACACACACACACACACACACACACACACACACACACACACACACACACACACACACACACACACACACACACACACACACACACACACACACACACACACACACACACACACACACACACACACACACACACACACACACACACACACACACACACACACACACACACACACACACACACACACACACACACACACACACACACACACACACACACACACACACACACACACACACACACACACACACACACACACACACACACACACACACACACACACACACACACACACACACACACACACACACACACACACACACACACACACACACACACACACACACACACACACACACACACACACACACACACCACACACACACACACACACACACACACACACACACACACACACACACACACACACACACACACACACACACACACACACACACACACACACACACACACACACACACACACACACACACACACACACACACACACACACACACACACACACACACACACACACACACACACACACACACACACACACACACACACACACACACACACACACACACACACACACACACACACACACACACACACACACACACACACACACACACACACACACACACACACACACACACACACACACACACACACACACACACACACACACACACACACACACACACACACACACACACACACACACACACACACACACACACACACACACACACACACACACACACACACACACACACACACACACACACACACACACACACACACACACACACACACACACACACACACACACACACACACACACACACACACACACAGACATTATTTCCTGAGGGTTTGGAATAGGGGTGCTGGATATGTTTTCGAAAACTTCTCCGCTGTGAGAGTAAAGGGGAAGATATTGGCATTGTCGGAGTATACGTATCTAGAAAATGGTGAATTTGTAGACACGATGTGTTAGAAATATGTCGTAAGGTACTGTTCTGTACTTGGCAACAGGGTGGATAAAATAATTGTAAGTATGGTGTTGTATCACCCAAATCGGCCACACAAAGCCCCAAGGAGACTGGCTCGCTTTCGCATCTTGTCAATATAGCATTGAACATCAGAGGACTAGGTGAGTGTACGAGATAATCGCATTCCCAAATAGTCAATTTCTGTCTGTCAAGCGAATATGACACCCAGGAAATTTACATTGATGTGTTGGGGAATCTGGGTAGCTCTTTTTGAGTTCTGATGTTTAAAGATGATAAATTTTGTTTTTTGTGGATTGAGTGAGACCCTCCATTTGCTACACCAGTCAGGATATTGGTTTAACAGATTTTGAGTTCAAGTACTTAGTTGGTCATAATTTTTGATTACAAAGAGCAGATAAGTATCGTCGACGTAGAGAAGTATTTTGACGATATGAGGTATGGAAGATGGGCCAGGCGTTGTATACTTTAACCGATTGTTTTGTCAATGAGGTATGAGTTAATGAGTTTGGAGATGCTGGAAGGAGACCTATGTTTATGATGGTTTTGATCAGTTCAGCATGTTAGACTAGGTCAAAGACTTTTTGAACATCTAGAAGAACGGCAGATGAGATTTGTTAAGAGTTTACTGCAGTGACCGCAGTAGTGTTCATAACATTTTACTCGGTGGAACACTAAGATTTATTTTACTTTGTTACGGAGGATACAATGGCGTACTTTTTTTTATTTAATCACAAGTTTAAAATGTATGAATAATTTGTATTAGGTACTACATAATATTATTATAACTTTCTTGAAGACGGACCAAGTTAAGAATTAAAGTAGGAACTGTTTCCAGCTTTAAATTCGTCTTACCCGGCAGAATTCATCATAACAAAATCATAATTTAGAAAATGTTTTCAATATATATTACTGTTTTTATTAGGATTATCAACTTCAACTGGTTCTAATTCTAGGTGTTAAACACACATTTTTATTGCTTTAAGGTTTGTTGAAAATATGCATAAATATTTTCTAATAATATTCAAGGGTAATAATATACCAAGACCTTGATAATAGCTATCTTTGTTGAATCTAAAACTGGAGAATATTTCAATATCAATTTGATGAGACAATTTTTGGTATTAATAATCTGATTAGAGTTTGAAAACTTTTAGTACACCCTTTAAAATTAAATGTTTTTTCTGGTCTCTAAACAATTTTTTCATACCTATGGCCATTGATTAATATTTTATAAATTATATTGGTTTTGGATCTTCATCTACTTTGGGTTGACCCAGAGTTCACTTCTATCTTTTTTTGTTAAATAAATATTCTACATCTTTTTTTGTATATTAAGAGCAAAAACTGCCAAAGGACTTTTTGCTCGAATTACATACAAGATTTGTTCTATGATCACACCAAAATAAAATAAATAATTTAATTTTATAAGAAACCTTCTTTCGTTATAATATTGTAAGTTTATTTGACGTAAGTCTACTCTTCGAAGAGAAAAATTTTTTAGTACTTATATATCTGTAACTTAGATAAAAGAGACCAGAGATACACCGGTGTTTAACCTGCGCAAATGTTGCTAATTTCTAAAGTAAGGTTAACGGAGTGGGGGAACTGGGCAGAGACCCGAACTATGTGACAGGAACCGGACTTTAATTAATATCATCATATTATTTAAAATATATTTTTAATGGAATTTTGTATTATGGAATAAAATTAACGTGATTTTTTATTATCAAACAAATGCACGACATTTTATGTAAAAAGAAGAACTTTTATAGAATATTTCGTTAGCGTTTATTTACTAAGGACTACAGTAAAATGTTGAAATAGAATATTGTTAATAGAGCAAACAATAGTACTCATTGTCTACGGGTATTATAAAAAAGCTTGTGCGCAGGAGAATACTGCAAATCAAACCTTGTGAGTTGAACATTATATTTTTTCTACAGCTATTACATAATATTAAAAATTAGTCAAAATAAGAAAATGCTGTTTTGTATGATTAGGAATATTAATTAATATAGCGGATGAGTCACATAAAACTCTAGAAATGCATATGTCTGAAACGAGATAACGTTTTAAAATTTAAACCTATTAAAAGTCATTTGGTCGCTAGGGGTGGGTGATTATCGAAATAAATGATCGATCATTGAAAATAATCGATTATTTTCGATCAATCCATTGTTTTCAATCTATTTGTTTTTCGTATTTCCTTTAAAATAGACTACTTGATTATCTTTGAAAAATCAAAAATAATCAATTAATTAAAAAGCTAATTAACCGATAAATCAGTGTTTACAAAAAATAATAAAATAATTATCGTTTATTTTAAATAATCGATTATTTTCGATCAATCGATTATTATCAATAATTTATTTTATTGTTTCATTTAAAATCGATAATTCGATTATCTTTGAAATACCTAAAATAATCGATTAATTAAGAAGCCGATTCTACGATAAATCTATTTTCCAAAAAAAATAACCGAATTATGGATTATTTTCTAATAATCCTTTTTTTTTCATATTTCCTTTAAAATTGATTATTCGATTATCGAAAATAATCGATAAATCGGAAATAATCGATTATTAAAAAGCTGATTAACCGATAAATCGATAATTCTAAAAAATAACCGAAATGTTGGTTATATAAAATAACCGATTAAATTATATTCGATCAATCAATTATTTTCATATAATACCTTTGAAAATTCGAAAATAATTGATTAATCGATTAATTAAAAAAACCGATTAAACGAAAAATCGATTTTTCCAAAAAATCGATTATGTTCAATCAATCCATTATTTTGAATAGATCTACTTTCTTCTTGTATTTCCTTTATCTTGAAATTTTATGTTTTTCATCCTGTATTTCCTCTAATATTCTTATAAAAATACCTTATAAAAATAAAATTTATCTAGCAACAATGCTTCTTTACTTCTTATTTATCTACCAAAATCTTTTAAATTTTACCCTTTTGTAAATGTATCTAAGTAATATGAAATCTGTTTTCTGAAATAGGTATTTAATGCTTAATATTTATTGAAACCCCTTAATGCGGATCTGAAGTATTTAGCCCAAAGGATCATGGCGCTTTATGTCAAAACATTAATAAATATTTACCGCTGAAAACGAATATATTTTTTTTCTTTCATAATATTGGTACTTGTATTATAAGTATATACAATTTTTCAAGATACATAATGGTATTCTGAGCTCAAAATTGAATAAGTAGAAGACTTTAAATTGTTAAAACACCAACAAATAAATCAAAAAACAGCTGTCAATGATGATTGAACTCAGGCGAAGGTGGGCGTTGAGTGGAAAAATCGGAGCAATTCGGGTGGCGTCGTGCAAACAATGATTTTCAATTGGTGGGTTACTTGGGATTAAAACAGACAACATGCAATGTTACATCTTCGGTCTCTTTTATCTAAGGTCTGTAATTATTTGAGTTAATCATTTAATTATTTACGGAAAATACTGTTGGATGATTTAAAATATTAAGACGTCAATTAAAATATTTTATTAAAATACCGATTAACTTTCTTTTAATTTAAATGAAAATAGAGAAGCGTGTTCCAAAGTTACTTTGCCGCACTTGTGCGCTAATAGTATAAAACTATGTCAATTATGATAGTATATTATAGTTAACATTGTGCTTGTATTTTTAGATATTTTGTTTTTTGTTACAGATCGAAGTAATGAAATAGAAAACTGCCGTCGAGCTATGAACATAGCACAAAAGGATCTGGGAATTCCCGCTGTATTAGAACCAGAATATTTAGCTTCTCCATGGCTCGATGAACTCTCAGGAATGACGTACCTTTCCTATTTCATGAAACCTGGTTCTCCAGGTTTTCATGCCACTTTAAGATGGGTCAACTCTAGGTTAGAGAGGCAGATCAACAATTTTACAGTACGTTTTTTAAACTACATAGAATGATCTGCAAGATTACATTGAAATATTTATTTTAGACCGATTGGAATGACGGAAGAGTTATCAGCGAGATAATTAGATCTTTGGGAGGCTCAGCTGCTGCTCCTGAGAAATTAAGAACTGACTCGTCTTACTGGGAATCCAATCAAATTCAAGCCATCGAAGCTGGAAGAAGATTAGGTAAATAATTAGTTAATTCTTTTTATTACCCATTTTATAATTTTTAGATTGCGGTACTTTTATAATTTAATGTTTATAGGTAGTTGAAGATGACTATGATGAAGATTAGATGTTCCATCTGATCTACGAGTTAGGAATTTTCTTGTGAGTTGAGTAAATTGAAGGATTGATTTATAAAGTCTTTCAGTTCACTGAATATATTATGCATTTTGTATTATAAGATATTAGTACGCATGCCCTCTGTCTTTAAATTAGTTTAAAGTTTCATAACCTTCTTAGTGTAGCAATTTTATTATTTATTTTTTAAATTTAGCACACATTTTTGGCATTTTTACATTTTTCTTTCGATTGTGAAAAATCAATTATCTTAAATGTGTACTTTGTTATAATTCTCAGGTATCTATTTTAAGGTTAATTATAAAAAAAAACAACAGGTGTTTTCATGTATTAGTTATTTTTAAAAATCCTTATAAGGAGCCACGACCTGCTCTTCTCATTTGTTTTTTACATGAATAATACAGCAGAAAACTATTTACATAACTTAACCTTGACTGCTGGCTGGCTACTGATTATTTTAAAAAATGCGCTAATTGTCAATTCGTAGAATGATAGTTAAATAACGCTGAGATTATTTTCAATTGTTTATTTTAATCATTTTTTTCTGAAATTTAAGGTTCTACTTAACGAAAACAAAAATGATTTTAAAATAGGTAATGAAAAATTGTTAGATTAAATGAAATCACTGAATACTTTAGGTATTTTGTTTAAAATAACAATTTTTCTTCGATACATATACTTCTAGCTAAAGAAATGTGAACAAATTCAAAATGGTACTTGTATTACATTCTTAAATTTGGAAATTTTTAACCTCATAAAAGTCAGAGGAGAGCATTTATAACTCAGATGAAATCTCTGTAACGTGTGGCGGGTGTATTACCCCCACGGCACTTAGGTCTCATTAGGCCCATTGTGCATCCTCTTAAAATGATAGTCACCTCCTAGCTCGTGATCCAGCCTACAGATTTAATGTGGTTGACAACGTCGCCAAGAGGTGCTTCTCTTATATCGGCCGGTGTTAGCCGATACTCGCCGAACACAAATCTTCTAATAAATGATGGTGTCAAGGACCATATTCCACAGGTGATAGCACCCCTCTGACCCCTCCCTGTGAATATCCCCTTGCAACCAAGCCTCTTATATTCACATATTCTACACTTTTGTTTACTATTCTCATTGAGAGCATGTTATGTATCTACCCACTAATCATTTGTGGAACATTCCTGTGAGGTGGTTTTATCTATGTCCATGAAAACACCCAAGGCGGACTCCTTATTGTCCAGGAATCTTTCTATCCGGCCAGCAAGTAGATGAAGGGCTGAATAAGTAGAACTGCCTGGGGTGTACGCATGTTGGTTTGGATGTAGTGATGTTGTTGTAATCACCGCATCCCTTATGTATCTTTTGCAATGTCTTCATGGAAAACGATAGCAGATTAATTGGTTGGTATGTTTTTGGGACAGTGTAATCCATCCTTCTAGGTTTGGGTATAAATAGCACTTTTACCTCTTTCCATTTTTGGGGGATATATCTACCTCAGAGCCAACGAGGATCTGAATATGTTCATCAGGTGGTGTCGTGGTTACATTGGAAGGGAGATATACAGATGCCAGGATTAACGTTTTCTTTTCCCTTTTGATGGCGTATTCCATTCTAACAGTAGTTAAATCGGAAGTGGAAAGGTGCACCATTGAGTGGGTTTTGTATTTCCTAAAAATGTAAATGCCTGTTCTAGGTTGTTGGTTGCTGGGAAAGCTAAAAATTGAACCATTTAGATTTTTAAGACCTAACATTTTGGTTTTTATTATCCAGGGTTCCTGGATAGTGCTATTGTATCTTGCAGCTCATCAAGGCGGCGGCATAATGTTGCCGTAGCCACCATTTTGTGCTGCAAGTTACATTTTATAATCGTTACCTCTTTTATTGCTTTCCGGTCCTCCGTTAAAAATTGGGCAACAAGATGGTTATTTATTCGACCATTCCTTCATCCGAAAGAGGGGAGGGGTAGTCTCTTTTTAGCTCCACGGAGTTTTCTTGTTCGAGGTCATCGATTGTCATTTTTTCTGGCTCGATGTCCTTCACTGTTGGCTTAAATTGAAAGGGAAGAGGATCCTTTACCAAGGAGTCTTCACCTCTTTTTCGACCTTGGACTTTATAACCACTGAGGTGAACGCATAGCTCATTCTCATTGATTTGGCCTTTAGGGTTCCCATATCTTCGTCTCCGATGCCGAAGACGAAGAGATAGCCCTTAGGGTCTTTTTTGATTTCATGGTGTAAGGTGCATCATTTCGCCATATGCAAGTTTGGGTTTTGCCCCTCAAGTCGCCTGACCACAACGTCCTTCTCGTCAAGGTCAGCTTGTGCTTCCCCTGTGATCCAGATAGAGGCTTTGGTGAGTTTGAGGAGCTCGTCCATCCTTACAACGGCGAGTGTTGCTCCTTCTTATGTTTTTAAGGTTGATACCATGGTTTTTAACCATTCCAACGTCAGGTCATCGTCTCAGGTTACTCTGATGACTTCACCAGAGTGCGATCAAGATCAGAATGTGGGAGGTTTCGCAGCAGGAGGCGGAAAAGATTGTTTTGTCCTGCTCTCCCATCAGTGTCTTTTTGACAAGGATTTCTCTTTCGATAGTTATCTTACCGTAAGGGTTATCCTTGTCTATTATAGCTACTTTCAGGTGGCTTGTAGCTGCATCCTTGTAGCTTATTCCAGCCAGAACTTTGTGGTCCTGTCTAGGTTTTTTTCATTCCGGGGCGTTACCTCGGAAGAGGTGTGAGATCGCGGCCTTTTCTTGTCCCTAGTTGCGTCGTGTTCCTGGCCTTTTGTAGAGGCGAACTAGCGTCGCTATCTAGGTACTTGATTAGGCCGCTTTTGTTTGGAGTGAGGAGATTTGCTGAGGGTGGCGGTTGCCGTAGCACTGCCTGCCTGCAACTTATCCCTCTTCCTCTTCTTTGCTTCAGACCCAGAGATTATTTTGCCTCACCGGGGCCTGTTAATTGGAGGTGAACTACTGTGTCCATCCTCCTTTTTTGAAGGTGGGCGTCGCTGTCCAGCCTCCTGTGCGGGAGCTGAACTTTGTTGTCCAGGCTCCTCTGCAGGAGGTGAGCGTTGACTTCCATCCTCCTTTTTTTAAGGTGATCGTTGCTTTCCAGCCTCCTGCGCCGGAGTTGGACTTTGGTGTCTAGTCTCCTTTCCGGGGGAAGGAAAGGTCGACCGATGTAGAGCCCCGCATGCGCCGGCAAGGCTAGATACAAGAGGGTGTCGCCAGGTTTACTCAGGAGAGCGTGTGCTGCCGCATCTGCCCCTGCGACAATTCATCCATCGGCAGGTTATCTTACACCTTAGATTGAGGGAGGTGGTTCGCGGCGGTAGCCTTTGCAAAAGATTTTAAGGGTTTTTAGGCTCTCGCACTCTACTTGTGTCTACCACTAACCAGGGGAAAACCTGGCCGTTCTCCTATCCACCACCTGGAGACGCGCTCAGTTGGCACTCAACCGCTCAATTTTTTGACCGATCTTCGACGAGAAAAAACATTTTGTTCCTTAGTAGGTAGTTTCCGGGTCTTTTCACACATGTATGCAGAAAAATAGTATTTACAAGCAGCTATGTCAAGTAATTTTTATGACACTCTGTTATAAATGTATTTACCTTTTTGTCATAGCTGTTGTTTCGCTTGCTTCTAGGATATCTTATTAAATTCTTATATTTTTCATATTACTTCCGTATTAATTGCACAATTCTGTCTTTTAAAACAGTTGGAATTGATGCCTCTTTCCAAATGTTTTCAATTTTAGGCACAAGTTCATTGCAAACTTCTAAAAAACTTGGTTCTTTTCCACTATATTTTTGATATTTTATTTCATATCGTATGAATAAATAACATCGTAGCATTTGTTCAATTGTCGGCAACATACGAGGGTTCAAATCGGTTGGGTTCCCAAATATAGGACATTCCACTTTACTGCTAGTTAAACTACACATTAAAACACTAATTTTTGTTTATTATTGTTTTAACAACGCTTCACTTCTTAGTCACAAACAAAGTTACGCAGATGTTCGCTGTACGACTATTAGGCACATAATACCGCCCGAATCTAAAAAATACCGTATTTAAAACCAATCCCGAAAACGTTCTGTTATATATTACTTTCATTCGTGACATGATTGATGATATTTTAAAATATTTGTCCACGACCACTTAATAATAAATCAATATTCTACCTCCTAACTAACTTCACGGAGTGAATTATGATAATTCACGCTTTTGTAATTCTGACACATTCCGATAAGATAGGCGATACTTTTCATAACGATATTTTCTAGATCGAAAAATCAAAAAATCGAAAAATCGAAAAATCGAAAAATCGAAAAATCGAAAAATCGAAAAATCGAAAAATCGAAAAATCGAAAAATCGAAAAATCGAAAAATCGAAAAATCGAAAAATCGAAAAATCGAAAAATCGAAAAATCGAAAAATCGAAAAATCGAAAAATCGAAAAATCGAAAAATCGAAAAATCGAAAAATCGAAAAATCGAAAAATCAAAAAATCGAAAAATCGAAAAATCGAAAAATCGAAAAATCGAAAAATCGAAAAATCGAAAAATCGAAAAATCGAAAAATCGAAAAATCGAAAAATCGAAAAATCGAAAAATCGAAAAATCGAAAAATCGAAAAATCGAAAAATCGAAAAATCGAAAAATCGAAAAATCGAAAAATCGAAAAATCGAAAAATCGAAAAATCGAAAAATCGAAAAATCGAAAAATCGAAAAATCGAAAAATCAAAAAATCGAAAAATCGAAAAATAAAAAAATCGAAAAATCGAAAAATCGAAAAATCGAAAAATCGAAAAATCGAAAAATCGAAAAATCGAAAAATCGAAAAATCGAAAAATCGAAAAATCGAAAAATCGAAAAATCGAAAAATCGAAAAATCGAAAAATCGAAAAATCGAAAAATCGAAAAATCGAAAAATCGAAAAATCGAAAAATCGAAAAATCGAAAAATCGAAATAACGAAAAATCGAAAAATCGAAAAATCGAAAAATCGAAAAATCGAAAAATCGAAAAATCGAAAAATCGAAAAATCGAAAAATCGAAAAATCGAAAAATCGAAAAATCGAAAAATCGAAAAATCGAAAAATCGAAAAATCGAAAAATCGAAAAATCGAAAAATCGAAAAATCGAAAAATCGAAAAATCGAAAAATCGAAAAATCGAAAAATCGAAAAATCGAAAAATCGAAAAATCGAAAAATCGAAAAATCGAAAAATCGAAAAATCGAAAAATCGAAAAATCGAAAAATCGAAAAATCGAAAAATCGAAAAATCGAAAAATCGAAAAATCGAAAAATCGAAAAATCGAAAAATCGAAAAATCGAAAAATCGAAAAATCGAAAAATCGAAAAATCGAAAAATCGAAAAATCGAAAAATCGAAAAATCGAAAAATCGAAAAATCGAAAAATCGAAAAATCGAAAAATCGAAAAATCGAAAAATCGAAAAATCGAAAAATCGAAAAATCGAAAAATCGAAAAATCGAAAAATCGAAAAATCGAAAAATCGAAAAATCGAAAAATCGAAAAATCGAAAAATCGAAAAATCGAAAAATCAAAAAATCGAAAAATCGAAAAAACGAAAATTCGAAAAATCGAAAAATCGAAAAATCGAAAAATCGAAAAATCGAAAAATCGAAAAATCGAAAAATCGAAAAATCGAAAAATCGAAAAATCGAAAAATCGAAAAATCGAAAAATCGAAAAATCAAAAAAACAAAAATCGAGAAATCGAAAAATCGAAAAAAAAATTTGAAAAATCGAAAAAAAATCGAAAAATCGAAAAAAAAAAACGAAAAATCGAAAAATCGAAAAATCGAAGAATCGAAAAATCGAAAAACCGAATAATCGAAAACTCGAAAAATCGAAAAATCGAAAAAAAATTTGAAAAATCGAAAAGAAATCGAAAAATCGAAAAAATCGACAAAAAAAATCGAAAAATCGAAAAATCGAAAAAAAAATTTGAAAAATCGAAAAAAAAAAAATCGAAAAAACGAAAAATCGAAAAAACGAAAAATCGAAAAATCAAAAAAAATCGAAAAATCGAAAAATTAAAAAAAAAAAAAATCGAAAAATAAAAAAAAAAAATCGAAAAATAAAAAAAAATCGAAAAATCGAAAAAATCGAAAAAAATCGAAAAATAAAAAAAAATCGAAAAAAAATCGAAAAATCAAAAAAAATCGTAAAATCAAAAAAAATCGAAAAATCAAAAAAAAACGAAAAAACAACAGTTAGTTACCTATGTTTAATAAAAACTTTCCATTCTACACTTAACATTTATTTAATAAAGAAACCATAATGGTCGTGGACAAAGTATAGTATTAGACTCTCAATTTATGGCCATTATTCACTCGGGTGACTTGCGCCCCTCATCTACGGCTCGGGACGCAAACGTCACCCTGCGTGAATAATGGCTACCATAAATTGCTCGTTTAATAATATACTATTTTAGGTTACCTTCGTTAAAATTTGTATTATTACAATTAATATTCTTGTTTATTAAATAGAACTAAATATTTAAAGCAAAGGCTTAAATTGACAACCCTCACCCTCAGAACTTCTACTTGTTAAGGTTTCATTGAAAAAGAGTGATCTTATAATCCTTTTATCTATTATTTTAGCATATACATTTCTCTGCGAACTGAATATTTACAAATTTATTTATTAGGTGTGGAACCCGTATTATCGGCAAGAGACATGGCCGACAGAAATGTGGAGCACTTGGGTGTCATGGCGTATGCTGCTCACTATCAATGGGTACCTGAACGACCGCCTCTACACGATCTCATCAATGTTACGCTCAATTCTACCTCTGGAAGAGTTGGAGAACCAGTAAGTAACTAAAATTTAACCAATATTACTATCCAAAAGTTATTGAAACTTTTTCTGTAGTCCAAATTTGAGGTCCCATATTGATATTTTGTTATTGTTTATGTACATTTCAGATTTACTGGGCTTTTATCTACAGTTTAACCCTTCCAGCTGGCCTAAATAATATTTATATCATTATTTTACAAAGTGGTTACCATCAATTAAGTATTTGTACTCTACAGTGAGTCATTTTAAAAACCGGAAACAGCACTGTATAAAAAAAACAATAAAACAATAACTGAACAATTAATGTTAATTCCTCTCAAACATTTTCTTATTTAATACGTATTAGCACCATGAATATCCGTATTAATATTTCAAACACGTCTGTTTCCTGTCTAAGAGTATCGAATGTTGTCACGCCTTTAGAACTTTAGCTAAGTATATGAAAATAAAAGTACCTCAACGTACCTGGACAATATATCGAAAGTATAGATTGTTGTGAATTGAAATAAAACGCAAGTGCTTACCTCGGAACAAGATTAAATAAAAAGAACGCTCGTAAGGTAAAGTGAGTTTTTTTAAGAGGATAATTGTGGTTATTATGAGGATGCGTGAAGTGAATATGAAACTGTTTTGAAAATTGGTTATTTGTTGTTCCCACGTTAAAACATGGGAATAGAAAAAAAAATGTTTAAAATGGAGTGTGCAAGGTTAGACTATACTAAGTAAACGATACTTTCAGTAGTGAATTGCTTAATAATTATATACAGGGTGAACATATAAAGTTAATAGGTAAATAATTATCTTCTCTTAGCACTGACAAAATCTTATTACTTATTCAACATTAAACAAAGAGTTCCGTGCAATACATTTGTATAGATAATATCTTTAATTGAATACAACCTTACAGAAGAAAATAAAAATTAAGGAGTTACAGTTCATCAAATTTCTAGAGGTGTTCGACGCCCAGACAGAGAACGCGCTACGTGTGACTAAGATAGCTATTGTACAGTCTGCTAAACAAGTTATTTTAAATAGTTTTTAATATTTTTAGGTAATTAAATTTTAAAAGTGTGGAATAGTTTAGGGATTAAATTGGTCTGATTGGACTTTCTTAGAACGTTTTTAAAAGCAGCTAAAGATAGTATGTAGAATTGAAAATAATTATTATGCCATAAAAGGTGTTTTGGAATTCCTTCAACCTTTTGAAATTGAGTCAGAAAATATAAATTTTATAGGATAGCGGAAAATACCTATAATTTTTTTGTAGGCCTTTGTAAATCGTGGAAATAGTTTTTATTTTATTTCTACCTTATTAAGGAAAATGGTACCTATTATTAATAACGGTTGTTTCTGAAACATTACTAAAATTTTCGAAATTTTGTTTTTCTACAAAATAATAAACTATACTATTTAGAAAAAAATTTATTTCTCTTATAATTTTATAAAAAATAAGGGGAATATTTACATGTCTTGATCTATTAAACAAAACGATAAATTATCTCGACGAATGACACCATGTTCTAGTACGGAAGCTAGCTTTACATTTTTGTTGGTGGTTTCATGGGTTTCATATCAATTTTTTGTAATTGTAGTTTACACGTACATATACCTCTTAACACTTGTTTGCTTTATTAAAAAAGTGTGTTGTTGTGATTTACGTCGAAATAAGTCAAAAACAACTTGAAACCCCATATAAAATCAAAAAGGAGAAACGGAAAAAAATTGAGCCTGTAAATGAACACAACTCAGAAACAAAAATAGCTTACTAATAATAAAAAAATAAAATTTGATTTTTGTGCAGCTTCATATATATCATAAACTGTTTTTGGTTTTTTAATGGTTTTTCTTGGTGATGAAAATTCCGATATCTCACGGTTATCGATTCTTTTTTTCTCCCCAGAAATGCGGACGACAGTGTTTTTAGATACTCCTGTGGCTGCAGCAACACGATCATTTACATTTTTAAATAGTATTGAAGGTGAATTAAAGTTTCCTTCTCTTCTCATAAACTCTATAACATTGGCTATTATTTCGCGAGATTGACTGTTAATCACGCGGCCTCTTAATTTGCTATTAAACTCCATACTTAGGTTCTATTAAACTGTAATGAGCAAAAAACACAAACGAAAATAAAAGAAATGTTTTAGCGAAATTTACATCTGACATTTACGTCTGAATGAAAGAGTGAAATACTTGATGCGCAGAGTGTACTTTCATTGCGTAAATCCGTCGGGATGCCTGTCAGTAGTGCTTTCTCTGTCTAGCCGTCGAAAGCCTCTAGAAATTTGATGAACTGTAACTGTATAAGGAAAATTTCCTGACCGTAGCAGAATTTTATATAAATAAAAAATTCCTTGATTTATTCGGTCATGTTCTTATTTTCAATCGTTTAGCACAGTACTACATATGTTTGGGTAATTTTTTTCCATCTTAGGATGCAGTAAAAATTTAAAAAATTAAAAAAATACAAGATGACGATTACAAACAGTTTAATTTTTTTTTTAAAATAACAGAACCCCATCTTTCTCTTTCAGCGTGTGAAGGTGTATTCGAAATAATATAGATTTGGTTTAACACAATAAAGATAAAGCAGGGAAACAAAAAGATGTGTTTTACAATGTTAAAAATTACAAGTGGCGTCCATAGAGAACTTAATAATTGCTTTTGAGCATCAATATTTGGTTTGCCTATAATGTTATTACTTTCCAAATCTGGACGCACCATTTGCAAAACCCTTTTAAATGCTTGGTGTGAAACTCTAAAATGAGATTGAAATTCGGTTTAATCGAGACCTCTTTATGGCCCGAGAAAACAGTAATTCTACAACTTCATTTTCCTCATCTTCATCGTCACTTTCTGCCTGTTCAAAAAAATAGTCTATAGTATGTTTGTACAGCTTGGATTACTGTATCCATATGAGAAATCATAATTAAAAATAAAATATTAGTTATATACATATTTGTTGGGCGCATGACACGTCCCAAACATCCTGTGCTTTTGAGAAGGACTCAAAATTGTAACCAGGAACGTAATTTATGAATGGTTGCAACCAAAATTTTAAGTCGTGACGTCATTTCTTACCTAACTTTCTGAAGGATTTTTTTTTTAAATTATTTACGTCAATTTTAAACCAAAATAAACATTTTTGGACCCCCAGGTGTTTCATTCAGAAAATAATTTTTAAAATGTTCCACTCCAATGTTGGACTCGTTAAAGATCTCTATAACTGCTTGGAACAACAGATGATTCAGCGAAATTTCTGGTGTTTGGGGTTTAGCAAGCAGGGGCGCATATATGGGGGGGGGGGGGGGGGGGGGGGGGGGGGTAATGGGGATATTTACCCCCCAAAAATGTTTAAACCTAACTTTTTATAGATACTAAAAGTGTATTGCACAAACTATTGAAAGACCAATTGCAGTATTTTTTATTCAATCTGGCAGAAGCGCTTTTTTACTTTCGTCGGCTGTCCGCCACTCAAAGCGCCTAACTTAGGTTCCCACTCTACGTTGTACGTGCTTGTATCTCAAAATCTCACTCTTTCTTCGACTAATATTGCTTATATAATTTTGTTTTTATTTTGATTTCTACTGGAAGTACTGGATACTGAATCACCAAAGTGATAGTGATACTAAAGTGATACACTGTTTATGTAAGGGTTTTACTTTACAGGTATTTTTATGAAGTTTAGTAATTTAGATTTAAGTTTTGTGTGATTATATCTAAAAATTTACCATTGTTCATTCAAACTGCTGTGAACTCTATGCGAAATGATTTAGGCATTTTGAGAAGGGTACACTTCAATTTCTTGCGCCGAATTGAAATCTGCATGAACGAAGGAAGGAGGTGGCCATATTGAACATTTATTGTAAAAAAAATTTATCCTTCTTTTCGAATTGTTACCTATTTTTCAATAGATACCTATGCTAATTAATTATTGTTTTATTGCAACAACGTTAAAATCGTGTTCGGGTTGCAGTAGTAGACTTTATGATATAGGTAATTTTGGCTCAATCGACTTATTTTGATCTCACCAACATACAGTAGATCTATGTACACGGAATTTTGGGACACCCTGTATATTGTAAGATCTCCAACTTCGTTTTAAAGAGGAATCTTTGAATACCTACGAGTTTTCCTTCCATTTTCAATTCAAAAACGGATACTAAGATTAATCAGTCGATTGAAGTAGTTGTGGAATATATAAGCAAATTTGAAAATAACCAAAACAGAGATTTAATACTTTTAAAATTAAAATCTGAATTCAGTATTTGGAAAAGCGTAAAAAAGCGATATAGATGGTATCGGTTTATATTCGTCTTGCGATGAAAATATATATAAATATAAGGGATGTATCATCCCTAATAAAAATGTCTAAACTGCTTTTTCAATGGTTTAATTCACGATCAAGTATTCTCAATTACAATGTTGCTGTGGTATTGCCACTGTCTATTCGCGTAATGCCCACTGCGCTGGTCTGCCTTTTCCCGCTCGTCCATCCTGACACGCATGAGTATGGACTTCAAGAATGTGTGGTGGGGAACAGAGGCACACCGCTGCTAACACGGCCATCCTGCAATTGGTGCGTCCTCGCGCCACATATCTGGAATTACAAAATACGAAAACAGAACTACTGTTACGACTTATGAACATTATCACTAATGTTCTTTTTAAACACTAAACACTTTATTATCATAATTTATTCAGGAATATTTGGTGGGATTGCCACCCTAACACTAAACACTAGTGCTACAACACCAAACACTGGTGTTATTTTATTATCATAATTTATTCAGGAAAATTTGGTGGGATTGCCACCCTAACACTAAACACTAGTGCTACAACACCAAACACTGGTGTTACTTTATTATCATAATTTATTCAGGAAAATTTGGCGGGATTGCCACCTCAAGTTAACAAAAACAATTTTTTTAATTTAATATTGTGGGATTTCCACTCACCTTTTTTATAATTACTTCGATGATCATAGCAACTGATCTTGAGCGGCTACAGTTGTG